CCCTCCCCCCCCCACCACACACACGCACACACACATATATATATATATATACGCCGCAGCAGAGTGCTTTGTCCATGCTGCTATCCGTTGCCGAAGGGGAGCTTTGGCGTAACTGGTAAAGTTGTTTCCATGGGACCAAGAGGTCATGAGTTCAAGCCGTGGAAACAACCCTTGCAGAAATGAAAGGTAAGGCTGTGTACAATAAACCCTTGTGGTCCGGCCCTTCCCCGGATCCCGCGCATAGCGGGAGCTTAGTGCACTGGGTTGTCCTTTTTTTAAATATATATGTGGCTTATTTTTCACTATTTTATTTGTCTGTGAGCTTATATGGAAAAGTGAGGATTCATATAACCGACCCCAACTTGTTTGGGATTGAAGCATAGTTATTATTGATTGCAGTGGGCAGTGACAACAAGTGTAGATTATTCATTGGCACAATTGCTTCAAGTGATAATACTCCTTAGCACAGGTGGAGTGAATGGAGGTGGATATCAGGCCTCTAAATATGTAGTTATTGCCTTACATGCTGCAATTCTGCTCTTACATGCTATTTTGAATAGTCTTCCTATCTCTTGGTTGTCCTTCTTTGGACAACTTGCTGCAGCTTGGAATGTTTTAGGTACTATATATATCATATATAGTAAATCCAACTTATTTTTTATCTATATATAACAGCTCTGATTGATAGAGTTGAGGAATATTGCAGGTGTTTTTCTTCTTATGATACTGATTCCTGCGGTTGCAACTGAACGAGCCAGCACTAAATTTGTATTCACTAACTTCAATACTGAAAATGAAGGTGGCATTGGCAATAAAGTCTACATCTTTGTTCTTGGACTTCTCATGAGCCAGTATACATTGTTAGGTTATGATGCTTCTGCTCATATGGTGAGTCCTTTTTCTTAATTTCTTGTTTGTGTGCCCCTTCTTGATTTTCCGAAATTGACTTCTCCGCGATGAAACAAAGCTAGTTTCCTTTCAAATTGCTTTGTTATGAAATTCTAGCTGGACTAGATGATGCTCTGAATGCTAATGAGGATCCCTCCCCGACTAGAACTTCTTGTTTCTGAGGTCGGAAACTGGGATTTGATGGTATCTGTAGAGCGGATCCCATGAGCTTCTCTGGTTGAGCTTGGTTGAAGATGATGTGACGCAAGTGAACGTCTATGAAAAAGCTGTCGTAAAGTTCCATTTTTCGTTCTGTCGTTGATCAATCTGTCACTGAATCACATCCCGCTCTGTCATTGTCTCTTCAAAGTGTTCTTTCATAGAATTTTTCCCTTTGCCTTGTCTCTGATCACTTCTTTTTGCAGACAGAGGAAACAAAAGATGCAGATAAAAATGGGCCAAAAGGAATTGTAGGTGCTATTGGCATATCACTAATTGTTGGATGGGCATATATACTTGGTATAACCTTTGCAGTTACTGACATACCTCATCTGTTGAGTAAAAACAACGACGCGGGTGGTTATGCGATCGCTCAAATATTTTATGATGCATTCAACAACAGGTTTGGTAGTGGTGTTGGTGGAATTCTTTGCTTAGGCATAATTGCTGTTGCTATATTCTTCTGTGGCATGAGCTCACTGACTAGCAACTCTAGGTAATTATATATCCTTTGTATCATTCAAGCAAGCTCTTTTGAGACTAGACACAAATGAGGAAAATGTTGTTTGCGCCCTCTAGGATGGCTTATGCATTCTCGCGAGACGGAGCAATGCCATTTTCGCCCTTCTGGCGCAAAGTAAACGAGCAGGAGGTTCCAATAAACGCAGTCTGGATGTCAGCGCTTATAGCATTTTGCATGGCATTGACGGTACAACTCCTGATTATTTCATATACAGTCAAACTTCTCTATAGCAGTTCATAATAACGGCCAAGTTTTCTTTGAAACCAATTTTTATGTGATGATATAATATATGTTCTCTATAACAACATTTCGATATAATGCAGTCTATCTCTATAACAGCATCCCTATATAACAACCATTCACTATAAACGCCAAGGTTTTTTAGAACCGATTTTTATATTATGTTATACTATATGTTTTCTATAACAACACTTCACTATAGCAGTCAAAAAAATCGAAACAAACGAGGCTGTTATAGAGAAGTTTTACTGTATATTCTTTCTCATTTAAGTTCTGTTATGTTCATTTCACTCCCTTCCAAATGCTAATATAACAGTATACTACTTTTTTGTGTGTGGTTTCGTATTAAAGTCTCTTGGAAGCTTGGTAGCATTTCAAGCGATGACATCAATAGCAACAATCGGGCTATATATCGCGTATGCCTTGCCATCCTTATTCAGAGTGACTTTGGCTCGAAAGTCTTTCACTCCAGGACCGTTCAACTTGGGACGCTATGGGGTCGTTGTTGGTTGGATCGCGGTGTTGTGGGTTGCAGTCATCTCTGTGCTCTTCTCTTTGCCTGTTGCTTACCCTATTACAGATCAAACTCTCAATTATACTCCTGTTGCAGTTGGTGGCCTTCTTATTCTTCTTCTTTCTTCTTGGTTTTTTAGTGCTAGGCATTGGTTTAAAGGTCCTATAACAAATATTGAAGTATAGTTCAACTGAGGAAGTGTTAAACTCTGATTTATGTAATTGTATTGAACAATGTTAAGTATATACTCCAGCTACTACGTACCTTTGCTTGTCCGTGTTGTTCAATTATTCACATAGTTTTGCCGAACTGACAAGACTTAGTACTATCTTCATTCTACTTATCTTGTTAAATTGTTCATAGGTCGTGTCAGATTGGCAAAACTTGTCTGTGTTGTTCAATTGTTCCTGTAATTGTATTGCACAAGGTTCAAGACATAGGCCGGAAAAACTTGCCCGCGTTGTTCAATTATTAACATAGTTTTGCCGAACTGACAAGACTTAGTACTATCTTCATTCTACTTATCTTGTTAAATTGTTCATAGGTCGTGTCGGATTGGCAAAACTTGTGTGTTGTTCAATTGTTCCTGTAATTGTATTGCACAATGTTCAAGTATATACTCCAACTACTATGTACCTTTGCCGACATAGGCCGGCAAAACTTGCCCGCGTTGTTCAATTATTCACATAGTTTTGCCGAACTGACAAGACTTAGTACTATCTTCATTATACTTATTTTGTTAAATTGTTCATAGGTCGTGTCAGATTGGCAAAACTTGTCTGTGTTGTTCAATTGTTCCTGTAATTGTATTGCACAAGGTTCAAGGACGTAGGCCGGAAAAACTTGCCCGCGTTGTTCAATTATTAACATAGTTTTGCCGAACTGACAAGACTTAGTACTATCTTCATTCTACTTATCTTGTTAAATTGTTCATAGGTCGTGTCGGATTGGCAAAACTTGTGTGTTGTTCAATTGTTCCTGTAATTGTATTGCACAATGTTCAAGTATATACTCCAACTACTACGTACCTTTGACGACATAGGCCGGCAAAACTTGCCCGTGTTGTTCAATTATTCACATAGTTTTGCCGAACTGACTAGACTTAGTATTATCTTCATCTTACTTATCTTGTTATTCATATGTCGTGCCGGATTAGCAAAACTTGTCTGTGTTGTTCAATTGTTCATAAGCTTTTCCGGACTAGCAAGACGTGCTACTATCTTGCATGTGTTCTTATTCTGCCCCCCCAAACAATAAACAAACCGATAGTAATCAAGGTATGGGAACCAAATTTTAACTTCTATGAGGAAGTGCATAGAGGTTTAAATACGGGTGAAATTCCTAAATTGGCCTCTGAATTGTTGAGAGATGGAGACCCTAATCACTAGTGTGCTAGGGAATCCAATTTATGATAATGAGTATACGACAAGAGTGGAGAGATCCGGTAGCCCGGATTCATGCAAATGGCGTGGAGTATTATAACATACGAAAATTTAGAAATCAGCCCGAATTCCAACTTCTTAGCCGTAAAATGCCAAAAAAGAAGGAACGGTCATGCTGAAGCCATGGTTATAGTTTATTAGGTCATTTTTTATGGCCCCGCAAAATTTTAGGCGATTCGGATCCAATAGCCCAGATTCATGCAGATGGGTGGACTATAGCATACGAAAATTTAGAAATCAACCTGAATTTCAGTTTTTTGGCCCTACAACGCCAAAAAACAAGGAACGACCATGCCAAAGACATGAATATTGTTCATTAGGTCATTTTTATGGCCTCACATTATTTTTTATTCATAAAATCTATACCTATAGCATTTGCAAGTCGGCTGTTAGGCGATTCAGATCCGGCAGTCCGGATTCATGCAAATGGCGTGGACTATATATAGTACACCAAAATTTAAAAATCGACCTAAATTCCAATTTTTGGCCCTAAAATACCACAAAAACGAGGAACGGTCATGCCAAAGCCATATCTATTATTCATTAGGTCATTTTTTATGGCACTGCAAATTTTACGGGATTCAGATCCGGTAGCTCAGATTCATATGGATGACATGGATTATGCACACGAAAATTTAGAAATCGACTAGAATTCTATTTTTTTACCCTAAAATGTCAAAAAACGAGGAATGATCATGTCGAAGCCATGACTATTATTCAACAGTTCATTTTTGATGGCCCCGTAAAATTTCAGATGATTCGGATCCAGTAGCCCGGATTCATGTAGATGGCGTGGACTATAGCACACAAAAATTTGGAAATCGGTCAAAATAAAAAAAAAATTGTCCCTAAAATACCAAAACATGAGGAACGATCATGCCGAAGCCATGACTATTATTCATTAGGTCATTTTTTATAGCCCCACAAAGTTTTAGGCGATTCGAATTCGGTAGCCTAGATTCAATGCAGATGGCGTGGACTATAGTATACGAAAACTTGGAAATCAGCCCGAATTACAGTTTTTTGTTCCTAAAATGCCAAAAAAGAGGAACGATCATGTCAAAGCCATGACTATTGTTCAGTAGGTCATTTTTTATGGCCTCGTAAAGTTTGAAACGATTCTGACCCGGTAGCTCAGATTCATGCAGATGGTGTGGACTAAAACACATAAAAATTTAAAAATCGGTTTGAATTAAAGTTTTTTGGCCCTAAAATACCAAAACATTAGGAACGATCATATCGAAGTCATGACTATTATTCATTAAGTCATTTTTTATGGCCCCACAAAATTGTAGGCGATTCGGATCCGTTAGCCTAGATTCATGTAGATGACGTATACTATAATATACGAAACTTGGAAATCAGCACGAATTACAGGCTTTTGGCCCTAGAATACTAAAAACGAGGAACGGTCATGCCTAAGCCATGACTATTATTCATTAAGTCATTTTTATGGCCCGCCAAAATTTTAGGCGATTCGGATCCTGATGTCCGGATTCATGCCGATGGCGTGAACTATATAACACACGAAAATTTAAAAATCGGCCTGAATTCAAGTTTTTGGCCCAAAAATCCAAAAACATGAGAAACTGTCATGCCAAAACTATGACTATTGATTATTAGGTCTTTTTTTATGGCCCCGCAAAATTTTAGGCGATTCAGATCTGGTAGCCCGGATTCATGCAGATAGTGTGGACTATAGCACACGAAAGTATGAAAATCGGCCCAAATTACAGTTTTTTGCCCTAAAATGCCAAAACGAGAGAAATTATCATGCAGAATCCATGACCATTATTCAATAGGTCATTTACTATGACAGCGCAAAATTTTAGGCGATTTGTATCCGTTAGCCCAAATTCATACAAATGGCATAGAATATGCACACGGAAATTTAGAAATCGACTTGAATTCTAGTTTTTTGACCCTAAAATGCCAAAAACCAAGAAACGGTCATGCCGAAGCTATGACTATTATTTATTAGGTCATTTTTATGGCCCCGTAAAATTTTAGGCAATTTAAATTCGGTAGCCCGGATTCATGCAGATGGCAGCTCACGAAAATTTATAAATCGGCCCGAATTCTAATATTTTGGCCCTAGAATTCCAAAAAATAAGGAACGGTCTTTGCGGAGCCTATTATTCATTTGGTATTTTTTGATGGCCCCGTAAAATTTTAGGAGATACAAATCTGGTAGCTCATATTCATGCAGATAGCGTGGATTATAACACATGAAAAATTGAAAATCGACCCAAATTTAAATATTGTGGCCTTGAAATCCTAAAAATAAATGACAAACGGTCATTCCGAAGCCATGACTATTGATTATTAGGTCATTTTTATGGCCCCACACAATTTTAGGCGATTCGGATCTGGTAACCCGGATTCATGTAGATGACATGGACTATAGCGCGTGAAAGTTTGGAAATCGACCTGAATTCCAGTTTTTAGGCCCTAAGATGCCAAAAAGTGAGGAACAATCATGATTAATCCTCGACTATTGTTCATTAGGTCATTTTTGATCGCCCGCATAATTTTAAGTGATTCAGATTCGGTATCCCGGATTCATGCAGATGGCGCGGACTATAGCACACGAAAATTTAAAAATCGTCCCGAATTCCATTTCTTTGACCCTAATATCCCAAAAAATGAGAAACTGTCATGCCGAAGCCATGGTCATTTTTATAACCCCGCAAAATTTTAGACGATCCGGATCCGGTAGCCCGATTCATGCAGATGGCGTGGACTATAGTTCACGAAAATTTAGAAAATCGGCCCAAATTACAGTTTTTTGGTCTCAAAATACCTAAAAACAAGAAACGGTAATGCGGAAGCCATGAATATTATTCATTAGGTCATTTTTATTGTCCCGGATTCATACCAATATAGCATACGAAAATTTAAAAATCGGCCCGAATTCTAATATTATGTAAAATGCCAAAAAAGAGGAATGGTCATGCCGAAGCCATGACTATTGTTCATTAGGTCATTTTTATGGCCCCACAAAATTTTAGGTTATTCGGATCTTGTAGCATGGATTCATGAAGATGACGTGGACTATAACATACGAAAATTTAAAAATCGGCCTGATTTACAGTTATTTGACCCTAAAATCCCAAAAATGAGGAAAGGTCATTGTTGCTCCTAAACGCACACACAAGTATATGTGATCGTACAAGTAATAAAATGATAAGTCGAGTATCGAACCCACAGAGACTTGTATCAACTACCTACTAAATTCAAGATTGTTATTCAGTCAAGCCAAATTCAAATTCAAGAATGTGATTATACTAAATTATAATTCTAAGTAATAACTAAATTATTAAGCAGTAAAATGATTGTTATGTATTCAATAGAGACAAATATTCCAGGGTTGTGATCGATTCACCAATCCTATTGTGTTCTAGTTAATTCTCCCTTTCATACAATTCACCCATACTTGTTAATTAATCGATAATTGCTCTCATAGCCTTCTTTCGAAGTACTACTCGCCTATTCAAAATGCTTATATTCCTATGGAATCAATATATTAAAAAAGCATTAAGATTACGATATTTAATTAAGCACGATGACTATGTATATTCCTATGCTAACCACAAATCTGCCCCCCCCCCCCAAGAGTTAAGATCGTGCTCTCTTCAATTCTTCTCTAATCTAAACATGGCTTTCCTAAGCATAACATAAATAGTAAATAGAACCTAACTGCTAGCGAGACAATTAAGCAATTAATCATAGAATTGAAGAAACAACCATATATTAGTGAATTGTAATAAATGTTAAGTCAACGTTAAACAACAATATTCATGGCTAAATCACAACCCCGGAATTATGGGGTT